GTGAGTTTTTAATGAGGGCAAGCATAACATCCTCCAGGTTTATCTACAGCGTGAATGACATCCTTTGAATTGTACGCACTTGCTTTGCCATTTGAGAAGTTGATCCTTTTGCCATCCTTGATTGTCTCTAATGGCCATGGTTACCGAGATCTTCTAAGGTGGGGTTGCTTCCAGTCCTGGATCTCATTCCAATGCTCCGAAACCTGGGATCTCAATTTTGGGTGATTCCCTGATATTAAGGATCTCGATTCTGTATTAATGGGATCCATATCTCTAAACCAAAAATCATCATTTCATGAGTAAAGGGAAAGGCAATTCCACCGACATGAAATTGAGTATCTTATGCTTTGGGTGCGAGTTTCAACTGCACATTTTTTGGTTTATAGATAATGGAATGTGGATCTTCATTTTTCTCCATTTTTTTATGACCTACTAACTTTCTAAATGCCATGATTTCCTATGTATTTTACAATTCACGAATTTATACATCTTGTGAATTGTGACTTGTTTCTAGTTTCAAAGAAAGGCAGCAAAAGGTGGCAAGGAGAGAGAAGGAAGAAATTGGGATGAGATACAAATGATAGTTGCGTTGTGGTTCTATTGAGGAATGAGGTCACAAAAGATATGCTAAAACTTCCTTGGGGCTAGTTCATTGGGTCTTGTCCACCTCCCGAAGGGCTTCTATCGCTTGATTGTTGGTTACTAAATCGCTTCACACACAGTTGCTTGTGGGTGATGGAATAACATGTATGTTTTAAAATGTGAGACCTCTCTCGTGTATACGTCATTCCCCTAGCAATTTTTGATGGAGGAGAGCTATTGGGTATTTTATTTGGCAATGTCTTACCTGACCATATTACATCACCATTTTGGTTTTTTTGTATCACTACTCGTTTGTGAAATCTTACTCCATCGATAACAAAAAATTAAAGAGATTTTCAATGACATGATTCTTGTTTACATTGATACTTGGATTTGTCAATTTGGGAAAAGTTAAAAATATTGCTAAATGGAACTCACTCCCAAATTACTATACAATGGATAATTGAACTTCGGGAACCTCGATCCTAACAAGGTGGAACACCATCCCATCTCGTAAGGTATCCGCTTCTTTGTAGATATGGAACTGGATTCCTAAAAGTCGGGGATCTCAATCCCAACATTTACCCATGTATGGAACTCATTCTCTCGACCATGGAACTTCGCAACGATCTTGCTCCAGGCTTCCACTCCCGATCGCGGACCTTTTTTCGCTACTGCCCCTGGTAACTATGCTTATGACCATATCGCTTTTCTGGCTGATCTTGGTTGATCTCTGTGTTTCACGTATGATCTGAAGTTTGAAACTTTAAAAGATTGAAAGAATACATCAGAAAGAAATGTTGGAGCTTTTATCTGGTTTGTATTGTATGTCTCATGTAATTGGAAATCTTCTAGCAGTTCTAGAACCAACATTTTTTTGGTCCAATTAGATTTGTTGAGCAAAGCTTATCATGATAACTGAATTTTCTGCGATGGTGATCTTGGAGGGAGGAAAAACTGGTCAAGGATAGGATTTAGTAACCAATTGTTTGAATATCTAAAAGATTTGTGCTCTCTTGTGGTGGATGTGTTTGAGTAAGTGCATCTCATTCAAGATTTTGAATTTGAAGAGTTAGGCTGTTGACCTATTCGAGGATCTTTTGGAGGAAGTATGAGTTTGTTGTTAAAATGGGGACCATGTGGGAGTATTTGGTTCATATAGATCAAGACTTGGTGGAGGGAATTTGAGAGTTGGAAAATCCATGTTGTGATGGAGAGGGGTCCCTTTGTATTGTGGAACCAGTACTTCACATGATCTGTCTAGCATGGGGATTAGGGATTCGTTTGTGTAATCTTAGGCCACATTTGGGCTCGTGGACTTTTAGCTATAGCACTATTTCTATGTTTACTCCCATTAAAGAGTTATAGGCCAGCTTGACACACTACTATTCACAGGGGAGCTTACTTTTTGGAACCATGCTTTTCCCCGAAGTATCAATGAAACATCCTAATTGCTACAAATGAAAAAATATTTTCCCTGCTATCCCTAAAAACAGAGGAACTTCTTTGATATGATTATGACCAGTTAAGACTACAGTTTTTTAGGATTGGTCATAAATGTAACTAGGGCTATTTCTTTGATATTAGTTCTAAGATTCCAAATGGGGACTTTGGACAAAAGTTTCCATGAGAAAGGTGGTGGTTGAGGAATATGTTTTTGATTAAGTTTTTGTTGTTCCTGATATTTAGAAGCTGGTTGTAATGTATCAACCATTGGGCTTCGCCTTTTACTTAAGATAAACAATTGATTGCCGCTTTTATGATTAGGATTGCTTGATTCTTGGTGTCAGTGAAGTGGAGATCAATTTTTAGGGTGATCCAAAAAATTTCATGCCAAAGCCCAAGTGAAACTGTTGGCTTCCTACTACTGACCACTAGGTCAAAATCTGAAATTTTAAAAAAATTGTTTAGTGCTGATTTGGATCAGTTGAAGTGGTCAGTCTTGGATTTTGTATTTTCCATTTTCTATTTTATAATTTATTGGATTTATCTTAAATTATAGAGCCAGAGAAGGAACCCTCCACCCTCCATCAATAATGTTTCTAGCCTCCTATTTGAGTTTCTTGAATTTTTTACTTACAATACAGAGCATTGGGAATGGACATATATATGTTTGGTAGGGAGACAAGGTCTTGTATGTATTTAGCTTTCATTGTAGTCAAGGCCTCTTGCATCGCCAAGTACCATCTCAGTTGAGAAAAAACTTACTAGAAAGTTCGAGAATTTGGCACACGAGGAAAGTTAAAGCAAGAAAAACTCTTTTTATTTTATTTTTCTTGGTTGAGAATCAATAGAAGAATGCTTTATGTTCCCTGGCCATTGGTATCTAGAGAGAAGAAATGATTTTAATGTTAAAGGACTTGGTCAACAAACTCGCAAGTTCAAGATTTGATCAAGAAAGAGAAGAAACAGTTTTAATGTTGGTCCTTAGAACATCTTAACAAAGGACGTATGCTAAATCAAGAGGACTCCTAGATGTTGTTGACGTTGAAATGCAAGGTTTATCACATGAATGCTCAGTTTTATCATAAGATGCCCCAATAATGGTTCTAGTTAGGAATTGAAATATGCCTCAATCCGTTTAATTTCCTTCATTTCAGCTTCATCTCTAAATGCAAAGTTAGATTGTGAGTGATTGATTAGGTTATAATCTCCATTATGCATTAGACAGGGAGAAAGTTCTTTTATGTTGTTAACTTTCATTGTAGACACAACCTCTTGCTGCCAAGTACCATATCAGTTGAGAAGAATCTTACTCGAAAGTTCAAGGATTATGAGAGGAAAGTTAAACCACGAAAGACCTTTTGTTTTTAATTCTAATTTTTTTTCTTCTGAGAATCAATAGAATGATGCTTTTTGTTCCCTGCCCTTTGGTGTATTGGTATGACACCTGGTTCATAAGAGAGAGGTGAAAAGGTTTGGTCCTTGAAGGTTGTCCCTCATGCAAACTGAGGTAAACCACCCCCTCCAAAAAACATAAGAAATAAGAAAGAAGATAAATATTATAGATCAAAAGAAATGTAATATATAGCGGCTCTAAATAGTTTTGGAGGGAACTACAATCGAAGTGGGCTGGGCCTTTCTCTTAGTATCACTAAAATATAAACAACCCATCAAAATAATAATTCATAACAAAAAATTAATGACAATTGTTCTTGTATGTTTCTAATTTCTAAAACAGAGTCTCTTTTGAATGAATTGTGGCACAACTATAATCCATGAGGTTGATCACCATTGAATGAAACGGTAGGTGGTGATGGAGATAGTCGGATACCCATTATTAGACATGAACCTGATGGTTGGTCAAGTTATCTACACTATAGTTCATCATTCCATGGATCAGTAATGGCCTAATGTACTATGGTTATCCATAGACCATAGTCCACTAGACTATATTATACTTATCCTAATTATTATTGTTAAATTCATTTTCACTGTGGTCTATTTTTTACCTTAAAACTTCTAATGGTTTATATTTTATACCTTAGAACTTGTAATATGGTTGATATTTATGACTTCAAAATTTTAGATATTTCAAAGTAATTTATGCATCTTGGAATTATTAAACGACCAACATAATGAGATGGGCCATAGCTCAAGTGGGATCTGTTACAAACTTTTCCAAAAGTCCGTGGATTTCTAGCCCCATGAGGTTGGGGCCTATTTTTGGGGAAAGAAAAATTAAAAGGGTATATTTGAAAAAAAAAATTATAATAATTAGGTTTCTCATAAAAAGGAGTTTTTTTATTTTTTAGAGAGAGGTGAATAAAAAAATGCAGAGAAGTTAAAGTCCTTAGTTTCTCTCTCTAAGGTTTTTTTGATGTGCAGAAAAATTACAGAGGGTTTTTTCTTCTAAAATCTCAAAAATGTTTGGGACTTTCTAAATGATTGAAGTTGGTGTTCTCCAATGAAGGTTTGAAAGAAGTTATTCTTTTTAGAAGGGGAAGAAGATGAAACAGTTCTCTCAGAGGTCAGCCTGTGTTTTACATTTTTTTTTTCTTGTTCTTAATCCTCAAGTTACGGTCAGTTAATTTGGGAAGAACTATGGTAATTATTTTTCTGCATAATGGATTTCATCTGTGGTGCCCTGTAGTTTTTCCCTTGTTTGAAGGGTTTTTAACGTAAATCATGATGTTTGGTTTGTTTATGAATTCCTGCAAATTTTTATATTTTTTTTCTTGGAGGTTTGGTATTTTTTCTTTGATTCATACATAGATGGGAAGACAATGCTTCTATTTGAATTCTAATTATTATTGATATTTTCATCTACTAGTGTGTACATTTACATTTATGCGTTGAAACTTCTTTATATGGTTGATATCATGAATTAAAACTTCGTTTTTTTTTTTTTAATATCATGAATTAAAACTTCTTGATATGCAACTTTCCATTATTTAACATTCAAAATGGTGAAATAGGCCATGGCTCAAGTGGGAGGCTTGGTGATGCTACAGCCTGAAGTTGGAGGATCCAAGGAAAACTTCTTCTTTGCAGGGATTGACAAAGTGAGGTTTCGTAAACCCGTCATTGCTGGGGATACCTTAGTTATGCGCATGACCCTCGTTAAGTTGCAGAAACGCTTTGGAATTGCAAAAATGGAGGGGAAGGCTTATGTTGGAGGTGAGGTTGTATGTGAGGGTGAGTTCTTGATGGCCACCGGGACTGAGTAAATGGGTTTTATTTGTTTTGGTTTGAATGACATTTCTCTCAATCTTTCCAAGGCATGGCTGCCTGTTTTTGTAGGGTGAATTGTATGTTGCTCGATAGCGTGGTGGCTGCTTTTTTACGTTAACAACACTAGTGGGACAAAAATTCGAAGTGTACAGAAAACTTTCATGTTTGGGGTAATAAGATATGGTGTTCTAGTGCTTGAGCTGAACTCTCTCTCTCTCTCTCTCTCTCTCTCTCTCTACTA